TCAGCGAGCAGGCGCGGCAGCTCGTCTGAACAAGCTTGCGCAATCCGGCCTGCAGAAGATGGTGGCGAGGCCCCGCGCGCTTCCTCCTGATACTGGCACGACAGGTGACGGCGCGATAGCGTACCTGGGGCCTCGTTGCACGCTAAACAGAAGGATTGCAATGACAGGTTGGCGTCATGCTGGCGCTGCTGAGGCCACTGACCGCCCGAAACTACACTACGAAGATACGCTGCTCCTTGAGGGCTGACCTTTTTGCTGCGGGCAACCTTCAGGAGGGGAAACAGGAGGGCTCCATTTTGAAACTCGGGGCACTGCAAGTGGGCAGCCACCCTTTTCCAGATCCACTCCTCCACCAACCGATCCAAGATCAACCCCAGAGTGCGAGGGAAGAGGTCGAGAGGAGAGAAGGCCCCAATCGATGGGCGGTGCCACTGGAGGCCCGCATGCTCATGCCTAGCCTCAAAGCCGAGGCCACGCAAGCACTGAAGGGGCCTCGAATGCTCTGCCGAGGGGAGGTGCGCTGCGATAGCCTGCCCCAGGCTTCCTCTACGCCTCCAGCGAGGATGGAGAGGGGCATCCAAGAGTCCCAAACCGCGGCGGCTAGGGTCATCAGAGGGCCCTCGCAAAGCTTGTAAGCTGGATCGACCTTGTCGACATCCGAGAGCTGCAGCATGAGAGAGAGTGACCGCCCGTCGACTCGCGCAGCCTCTACCTGCGCCTGCTGGCGCCGAGCCTCGCGCAACGCTGTGTTATTCGTGCCCAGGACCTGATGCCCATAGGACACGGAAGACAGAACAGCATACTGGACCATGTGAAGCAGTTGCTTACGCTTGAGCTGGCGACCAAACGTGAGCAACTTGCCATGTCGAGTTCGTGCTGGCGGCATCCTCTCGTGCCTGGCGCGCCGTGCAGCAACTCTGCCGCCAGTGTAATGGATGCCGAGATTGCGCTCGGCGGCGACTCCCTGGACCGAACAACGCTTCAAACGGCACTGAAGCCTGCGACGAAGCTCGACTGACGACGCGACACGCTTGCTCTTAGACCGCTTGATGCGCACATCTACTCGCTCTAGCTCTGTGTGAACTAGCTCTGCTGCACCTGATAGATTCTTGATTACGTGCCCCCCCGACCACACAAGTGCAACCCGAAGTCGCCCACCAGAACCCCTATTTCGACGGTCGGGAAGGCGCGACTGACTACATCGAGCGGCTGGAGCAAGACCAGCTGCAACATTAAAGTGGCAAAGTGACACCCTGGGATGACGGCCTGCAGCGCGTGGGTAAATTCGGGCGCTCTGCCGTCAAGATCTCGAGTGCGAGGGGCACGGTGCAACTGAATGAGTAGCTTCAACTGTCGCAGAGGAAAGTTGGTGGCGATCGCAGCTGCCAGGAGCCTGACATGCGATATATGCTCAGACGCTTTCTCCAAATCGAAGAAAATCAAACAACTGGCGAAGCCGCGGCCCTGAGCCCACTCGGTCTTCGCAGACTGGACCCAGACAAGCTTATCGGAGCCTCGTCCAGCCGTGGCCCACCAGAAGTCCCAAAAGTTCTCGGTCTGCCAGGCGCGCACAAGAGGCTTGCGAAGTCGGCCTTGCACGCGCGCGATGCAATGCAGCAGGCCGATTGGCTTTAGTCCTCCTGTGCGTTTGAGGAGGTAGACTATCTTACTACACATCCCGGGCAAGGAAACGTCGGCCTCGATGGCCATGGCAAGCTGGATCAAAACTTGAATGGCCTCGCCAGGGAGATGATCGAACTGACGAGGCGAAACACCATCGAAACCGCACCCCGAGCGAGCAGGAAACGAGCGAAGCACCTTCCTCATATCCCTGACGCAGGCTCGGGGAAGAGGGGGCCGAGGTCCGCTGGCCACTCGAGTGGCTCGTGAGGCTGGTCGACCCTCCACCAGCGGCGCCACTCGGCCGCGAGAATATCCATCTCCTGTTGAGGGGGCGCTGGCACAGGAAGCGGCGCACCGTCCTCGTCGAAACGCTCCGTGGAGTGCCACGGAGTGCGAGGGCGAGCGACGGCAAAGAGAGCGGCGGCTCCGTCGACCGAATGGTCCCGAACCCACTGGCGCCAGCCATCGCTCTTGGCGTTCGCCGCCGTTCCGTGCTCTCGGACAGCTCTGGCTCGGGCCCCTGTTTCAAAAACTCGAGCCAGCTCATGCGACCAATCTCTGGCACTCCCTAGAGCACAAAGCCACGTATGCGCATCGCACAGCGCTGAGGCGAAGCGAGTCTCAGCCTCGTGCAGCAGCCTGATACAAGTATTGAGCGCCCGCTGGCGCATCTGGGACACATGCCAGAAACTGAGACAGTGGCAGGCACACGCGACGCGCCCCCACCAGACGGCAAGGGCACTCAGTCGAGGAAAAGGTAGTCGATGCGGAGCCCGAGACCGAACTTGATCCAGTTTCAGGTCACGACCACGCCCGGTGTAAGCATCTGCTCTCTTGGGGTCAATCTGGTAGATGTCGAGAAACTGCTGCTCAATCAGCTCGACGAACGCAGCCCACATGTCGTGTGCCGAGGCGCTGGGACGCGGTACTGCTTCCTGATACTGCTGCCATCGCCGCTGCCAATCATGCGCTTCGCATCCAAGAGGCCGAACTTGAGGAAAGCGGCGGGGCGCGACAACTCGGTAGACGAACACCTCGTCCACTGTGGCCTGTAACTGCAGCAACACGGGCTCGTGCGGCTCGGTGGCCACCGACGGCAAGATACGTAGAATGTGCCCACGCTGCAACGAGTGATGGACCACGAAGTAATCAAGGCACTTGCCGTCTTGAGTGTGAACACGTGGGCATCGACGGAGCCAGGATCGCCGCGTCCAGACTGTCGACCCACTGTGAGCCGCGCAAGCTCTCTGGTGTGATATTCCAATCACCTGGCATGACGAATGGCATGTCGAATTCTTTCACGAGATGGCGCACACTGCAAATCATGGACCAGCTCGCCGCGGCCAGTCCGATGCTGCGATGCAGGTACACTCCAAGCCACAGAAAGCCGGCAGAGCATAGGCCGCCGCAGTGAATGGCGACGACACGACCTGGGGCAAGATCAGCTGGCACGACCTCCAGCTCGCTGAGGCCATGTGCCGCCGTCATCATGGCGACGCCGCCTGCCTTGCCCCTGTCCGACTTGGGCACTGCTGAACCGACTCTCGCATGCCAACCTGCGCGTCGGAGACGATGCTCGTGCGCAGTACCTTCTGCTTGATGATGCTCCTGTACGCATGCTGCACTGGCCTGGCGTACTTCAGAATCTGCAAGAAGCTCACCGGGACCCGCCAGACCAATGACATTCGACGTGACGATGGTGAAGCTAGGAGCCCGACCGATTGCTT